CACACATACACACACACATACACACACACACACATACACACACATATACACACACATACACACACACACAGAGTAAACAAATAGATCTTTTAATTTGTTTTAAATTTATTTTATGTGTATGAGTGTTTTGTTCACCTGTATGCCTTTGTACCACATGTGTGCCTGCTACCAGTGGTGAGGAGAGGACGTTAGATCCTCTGGAACTAGAATTATGGATGGTTGAGAGCTGTCATGTAAGTGCTGGGAATCGAACCTGGGCCCTCAGCAGGAGGAAAATATGTTCCCAACCACTGAGCCATCTCACCAGCTCCTGCCACCCCTTTTTAACAAAAGGAAAGAAAGAGATTAGGCACAGTAGCACAAGCCTTTAATTCTCAGGAGGCAGAGGCATGCGGATCTCGGAGTTTGAGGCCAGTTTGGTCTACATAGAAAATTCCAGGGGTTGGGGATTTAGCTCAGTGGTAGAGTGCTTGCCTAGCAAGCGCAAGGCCCTGGGTTCGGTCCTCAGCTCCAGGGGAGGGTGGGGGGAAGAAAGTTCCAGACCAACCAGGGCTACATAGTGAGACCCTGTCTCAAAAATCAAACAGAACAAAAGAAAAAAAAAATGTAGGCATTTAAAGCTGCACTGACCTGCTGCACTGGAGAAGAAATGGAGGAAACAGACCTGATGTGGACAGGGTGCCTCTCCACTTCTCCTCCACTCTGTGCCTCCAAACCCTGGTGTCCCCCAACTACAGAAAGGGACACTAGATACCAGCCAGAGTCCGATCGCCCCAGAAGTAGCTTGCTTCATAATGACTCATCCTGGGGGCCTGGGGCCAACTTCACTGGCACCAGCACCAGAGGTCTCTGCCAGGCTGTGGGACTGCTGTCAAGAGACAGTTGGGCTGCTCTGGCCTCTCATTAGGGCAGGAGTGTGGGAAAGCCTAATGGTCAGCAGGAGCCTGCTGAATCCCATGGTCAGCGCCCCTAGAAAAGAAAGAGGCCTTGCCTGAGGGTGTGGGTTAGTTTAGGCCCCTGGCCCAGATGTGTAGGACAGACGGGTTCTGATCTGTATTGGCATGGCTAGCCTCTTGGCTTGGCTGAGATGAACTGGGGAGCTGGCATCCGGGTTCGTCCTGTGGCCCAGAGAAGAGCCAAGTGTGCACCTTATGAACTCCACCAAAGAGGAAGCCCCAGCCAGTGCCCGGCTGCGCCACCTACCCGCACTGAAGGAAGTGCTGACTCTCTCCACAGGGCCAGGATGACCGGGCAATGAGAACCCAGGGGAGCTCCTCACCACCTTCTTTCCTCCGGCCTCCTCCCTTCCTCTTCCCGTCTCTGCGCCCAGCGATGGAGGGACTGGATCATAGGATCTTCCCTGTGCAGACAGGTAAGTATGCCTCCCTCCCCCAGCACGCACACACGGGGCACTGTCACCACCCACCCTGCAGGGCTCAGGCCTGTGATACCCGCTCAGCACACTCCCAGAACCTGCGTCGGCGTCTCTTCCCATTCAGGGCCATCATCAGCGCCCGCTCTCATTTTCGCTCACACACATCATCATCGCGCGGGCCAGGGTTGCAGGGTTTTCTGAGGCTACTTCCTCCTAAAACATCCCGTCTGTGGTCAATCAGACTCCGCAGATGACAGTTTCTCCTTCTGACTTGGCTGGCTAACAAGGCTCTCTAAGCCCCCAGGGTTTGGTAGGGTTCCTCCAGGAATGTGATCAGAAGAAAGCCTTAAATAAATGAAGTGCAAGTTTCCCCAAGATCCCGAGTCTGTGAGTCCACCATTCCCTCTCGGATTTCTAACCCCCCCTGGCCCTGGTGGTGATAAACCGGAAACCAGCGCACTCACTGGCGGCAGCCTCTCTTCCTCTCCAAATCAAAAGTCAAAACAGCCTCTGGTCTTTGCTGCAGTGCCCCGGTGTTTGTAGCAGTCACCCTGTGGGCATGGCATAGGTGTGGTTCAGTTTCCTGCTAAGTGCCAGGGTAGGCCAGGCGGGAGGTGGGTTCACCTGGCCTCGCAGTTTGAGGCACACGGCGACCCTCTGAGGACGTCTTTTCCTCCATGGACACTCTTCCTAGTCTGTAGGTGGCACCAAAGGTAACGTGGATGGAAGATGTCTGTGTGCAAAAGAGGCTCTCAGGAAATGGCAGCAGCCGCAGTTGTGGAAGCTGTAAACCAGAATTGGGCCTAGAGTATTCGGAAGTACGATTGTGGCCTAAAAGCATAGGAAGGTCCTGTGGGCTGAGACCTGCGGGCTCCTCGGAGGGGCGGCTCCCTGGTTGCTAATCATCCCGAGGAAGGCAGGAAGGCTGAGGTCTTCAGATACGCCCTCGGCCTGGGAAGGACAGTGACATGGTAAGATCTGCCTCTCAAAACACAGGCTGGAGCTTAAGGACTGAGAAGGAGGGAAAGTCGGGGGCAAAGTGATGCCTGGTGTGAACTGAGGTCGAGGCGGTGGCCGGCAGAGTGGACTGGCCAGGGGAGCTTGTCACAGATCTCCCCTGCTTGTGCTGGGTAACTGGATTTCTGATCGGAGACGGTCCGGGGGTGCTGTGACCTCAGAACCAGGAAATAAGATCATTCGTTCAGAATGTATTTTAAATCGGCTCCTTGTAGAGCCACAGAGTTTATGAGAACCATTTCTTTGTCTTTCACTGTGCTTGTCATGCGTTTTAAAACGCTGGTGCCAAGCACTGTGCCAGGAGAGAGGCCCCTGAGGGACATTTACCTGGTAGAAGAAAGGAAGAATGGCATGCACCAAAGAACACCGAGCTCTCTCCTTCCTGAATAAATCAGCTCCTTGTCCCAGAATTTAGCTGTGACTAGCATTTGAAAATGCTGGAGCCTTCCCTATAGAAAGGAAGCGTTTCCAGACTCCACTGATTCTGACGATGGCTGTATCAGTGATCCCACTGTGTAGCATTAGTAAGTTAAGACTTAGCATTTTGGTTTTGGGAAAAACAAGGTTGCCACTGTTAGAGTTTATTAAGAATGCCACTTAAAAGCACTATTTTTTTTTTTTAATAACCAGACTTCTTTTTTTTGTTGTTGGTTTTTCAAGACAGGGTTTCTCTGTGTAGCTTTGGAGCCTTTCCTGGAACTCACTCTGTAGCCCAGGCTGGCCTCCCAAGTGCTGGGATTAAAGGCGTACGCCACCACTGCCTGACAATATTCAGACTTTTTTTTGGAGACAGGGTTTCTCTGTGTAGTTTTGTGCCTTTCCTGGAACTCACTCTGTAGCCTAGGCTGGCCTCCAACTCATGGAGATCCACCTGCCTCCCGAGTGCTGGGATGAAAGAAGGTGTGTGCCACCACCATCCAGCTGATTTTGAGTTTTAGACACAGCGTCTCAATTTGTAGCTCTAGATTACCTGGGACCCACTATGTAGATTACCTGGGACCAGGCTGGCCTTGATCTCCTGCCTGCCTGCCTCTATCTCCCGGGTGCTGGGATCAAAGGCATGCACCCCATCTCCACCCCAGCCCTACCCCTGCCCCTGACTAGGATAAAGATTCAAAATTGGTGCTAGTGTGGACTGAGTGAGAGAGGTCATGGTAACCAAGGAACGGCTAAGTTACTTGGGAACAGAAAGCATGTCACAGGTAGTGTATGAGAGCTATTAGCATAGGGCATATGGAGAACGACATGCGTGCGGCTGTGGGGTGAGGGTCGGGGGAAGAGGGAATGGCGTGTGTAGATTCAGACTTGCAGAAGGGAAGAAGAACGGTATGGCGCCACATACAAATGGACCTCTCTCCACTGTGCATCTGGAAATGGTCAAGTTGAGGAAGGAGCGGGGGTGAACACAGACACTGGAATCAGAACACACTGAGTGGCTTGGAGCCTCCTAACCTTATTGACAGGAGGCGAGGGACACATTTCCAATATACTATAAGGCCTCTGTTCTCATGCAGTGTTTAATTATCCTTCCTGAAAAGACTTACAAGCTTTAAAAAAAAAATGACCTGTGACTGTAGGACCATGCAGCCAGCCCCAGGAAGCCTACTGCAAGGTCCAGGCTCCCTGCTGAGCCTGACTGGGACGGGAAAGGCTGTTCAGTGTCCCAAGCTTCAAGACAGCCTGTGTCACCCTTGTCCACCTGCAGCTGAGTCCGTTCCTACAGGATGCTCTCAGGACAGCCCAGAGCTGTGTTCATCACACAGGGTACCTGCCAGCATTTGCATTTTACCTGTGGCTAATTATTATTATTATTATTATTATTATTATTATTATTATTATTATTATATTTTATTTTTTTGGGTTTTTTGAGACAGGGTTTCTCTGTGTAGCTTTGCGCCTTTCCTGGAACTCACTCTGTAGCCCAGGCTGGCCTCAAACTCATAGAGATCTGCTTGCCTCTGCCTCCCGAGTGCTGGGATTAAAGGCGTGCGCCACCACCGCCCGGCCAATGGCTAATTATTTAAAGTATTATTTTCTATACGATTAAGGTATAGATATACATACATTGTTTGGATACTACACTCTCTGTGTACTAGAGCCAGACACCAGAGGGAGAAGGTGTCCTGAGACACCAAGGAAAGAGACTGCTAGGTCCAGATGGTACAAATGGCATTTTGTTAGAGACTTAGGGGCAGAGGATGTTTTGGGTAGCCCCAAGGCAAGAGGATCCTGCCCTCTAAAACAGGAGGGAGGGACCTCCGTGCTGAGCCAGACAAAGGTGGGTGTGGTCAACAGGAATGTACTATCCTTTCTCAAAATATCAGTTAAAAACCAATCAGCATCAGTGGCTGGCACACCATGCTTGACTGACTGTCCTAATAACTTTGTTTGTTATAGAGCTTGGAATATCTGCCAGGACTTCCCAGTAGGCAAACTGAGCCAAGATGGCTGTAGTCACGTTGAGCTGCACCACCCTGCACCACCCTCCATGCCCACACACACGCCCCACCCCCACACATGCCCCATCCCCCACCACGCACATACCATTTTCCTAGAGTAAATTGAGAACCCTGCTGCTCAATCCACACATTTCATATTTGACACTGGAAATGGGTCCACAGGAGTCAAGCATCCAAAGTCACATGACTCATGAGACCCTTCTCACTTCCAGCCTGCAAAGCCCATGCTCTGAACCAGGAAGCCATGCTGGAGCAAAATGCAGACTTTGCATAAAACCAAGATTCCAAGACTGCATATAGACAGATTCAGGGCGAATCCAAGCAGTAGGGTCTTGGGTCTCTCAGTTCATCAATTTCCTAAGTCCCTACTTAGCAACACCAAAGAAAAGTTGACATACACTGGTTTAGCACAGAATTTAGTTGTTACTAAGCTGAACTCATGAGAAATTTTAACTCAGATCTCAAATTTGGTTTATTTATGTATAGACAAGGTTCTTGCTTACTGTGTAGTCATGACCAGGTTAGAACTCATGATCTTTTGATCTCAGTCTCCAAGTACTAGGATTATAGGCGTTGAACACCACATCTGGCTTCAAAAGTCTTCTGTTTTCCAAGAAAGATTTATTTGCTGGGTGGTGAGTGGTACACCACCTTAATCCCAGCACCCAGGAGGCAGAGGCAGGCGGATCCCTGTGAGTTCAAGGCCAACCTGGTCTACAGAGTGAGTTCCAGGACAGCCAGGGCTCCACTGTGAAACACTGTCTCAAAAAACAAAGAATTTTATTATTAGTATGTGCATGCATTTGTGTGTGTGTGTGTGTGTGTGTGTGTGTGTGTGTGTGTG